TTGTGTGTGGAAGGAGTTGCGAAGCCTGGCTAGTAGTTTGCGCTTGACGAGTTGGAGGTTTATATCTTTTCCCTTTCGCCGTTGGCATTTGAAGCCTTTTCTTCTCTTTTTTTTCTTTTTCCTTTTTGTTTGTTTTCTTCTTTTTGGTTACTGGCTAGTAATTCCCCTTGACKWGTTCGWKGCTGWTYTTTTTYYTTTTCGCTKTCWGGWTTTTGAGGCTTTTTTTCTTTTTTCTTTTTTCTTTTTTTTTTCTTTTGTCTTTTTTTTTTTCTTTTTTTTTTTTTTCTTTTTTTTYTTYTTCTTTGAATCGGTGTTCTATTCTGGTGAACGTTGCTGTGGTCTAAGAATAATCTTGCCCTTCCAACTGCGTTGTTCTTACAAAATTTTCAGACTTGCATTCTCAGCTATTGCACTTTACCTGTGACTTGTGAAGTTGTGACTATTAATCTGAGTCGTCGGATATGAGCAGTATCCCCCAACTGTTTCTATATTTGCGTAAGTTTGTGTGTGTGAACCTGGTCACTTGTGTGGCCAGATCCTTCGCCTTTTGTTGCTGCGACCATCCTGGACCACTGGAGGTTGGGCTATTTATTATATTTTGTGTCTGTTATGATCCTGGCGATCCTGAAGTGCAACAACTCGAAGAAAGATGGTGCCCGTCATCTGCAACTGAAATGAAAGAACTTGGAAAGAGAAATAGGCAAATGAAGAAGAGTAAGAATGCACGAAGAAGATGTATACCAGCAAAGACCAGTGTCAGTCTGCCTTCATCTTGCCATCATCTTCAACCTCCAATTACTCCCCCAGCTCATCATTGACAATAATCCGTATACTCTTAAAAGTTACAAAGGGCCCACCGTAACGGGTCGTCGTGGGCCAAAGGGAAACTGAGGCAGGGGCCTGCCTTCGGGGGTGCCGAGGGAGGGACTTGGTCGGCAAAGCAGGTCTCCAGGGATGGACCAGTCGGCAAACGTGGCGGGGCAGGCGCGAGGGGTGCGAGGTGATGCACGTGGTCCTGGCGAGGGGGGCGTGAATCGACGTCAGGGGTGCGAGGTGAGGCGCAAAAGCGGCGAGGGGGGCGCGAAGCGACGCGAGCGGGGTGCGGATGGAAGAAGAGGGAAGACAAGCCGGGGGGGGACCTGCGGCGTGAAACTAAGGCGAGTCGCGACTGACACGCAAATTCCATTTGATGTTCGAGAGAGAGAGAGAGAGAGAGAGAGAGAGAGAGAGAGAGAGAGAGAGAGAGAGAGAGAGAGAGAGAGAGAGAGAGAGAGAGCAAACCCCCATTGGCTCTTTGCTCCATCTCATCATTTTCTGCTCATTGTCAGCCCCAAAATTTCTACTTTTCTCTGTTCACCTTCTCTTTTGGCCTTCATCTCTGTGTGTCTATACGCATATCTCCCCCCCAGCGAGTTGCCAAATACCCCCCATAAGTTGAGATATATGTCGAAATGTCCCTGAAAGATCTGGGTACAGTGGAATGGCCTCTTGGGCTGACATCTGTGTTATTCCCTATCAGGCATGTGTGCAAATTTGCGATCTAGGCCTTCCCCATTTGGGCCTTGGTCTTTTGCAATTGCACCTAAGAAAAGTTGGCAACTACAGGGGCATTTTGCAAAGTTGGATGGTGTCCGGTAGCCGTACATTCCAAAGATGGGGTCCAACCAATGTCTAGAGGAGGCTTCACACTTTTCACATTTGGCAATTGTCGGTGTATCTTTCCATGTTCTAGCGGAGGGTTCATTCTCATTTTGGACATTTGGTGAGCAGTGTGGCCAGGTTCCCTATGGAAAAGTGGATTTCCCCCCTTGAGAAAGCTGGCAGTGCCAAGGCAAATGGCATGCCGAAACAATTTGGATTCCTTTTGAGGATTTAGATCCTTTGCATGCCCTCGAGGGTCCCCTACGGCAAGCATGTGCCCGCCCTAAGCAAAGGCGGGCCCCCGAATTTCAACGCGGCCTGAGTTCGTCAATTTTGCAAAGCTTTGGTGGGCGCCAGCCAGTTGACGTACGCCAGTTGGTTACATCCCCCTTGTTTGTGAGAATCAGAAATATTTGTTACATCCCCCTTCTAGGCTCTTCCAGCAACCAATTGGGTCCCAGGGCAAGCAGGGAACACTTCACGTTTGCGCCTAACCAATTGGGTCCCAGGGCATGAACAGGCCTGGGCGCAGACATTTTCGCCTGAAGTGAAGGTACTGGGGGCGCGCCCGTGCCAGGCCAGCAGCCAATGAGCAGTATACTATATATGTTCTTTTGATTATATGTATGTGTATTATATTCTTTTTATTAGATATTCCAAGGCAGCATTCGGACACACGCATGTGCATGCGGTAGCGCTCCTGGAGCTTGGGCTCACGCGTGCTGCGTGCTAATGCTGTGCAAAAGGCTCCCAGACCCTAGTGATTTTCCCCTGAAGTGAAGCTACTGGGGGCGCGCGCGTGCCAGGCCAGCAGCCAATGACCCTGTCCACTTTCCAATTAGGAAAGGGCCAGGCTACCAAGGCAGCATTCGGACACATGCATGTGCATGCGGTAGCGCTCCTGGAGCTTGGGGGCTCGCACGTGCTGCGTGCTAGCGCTGTGCAAAAGGCTCCCGGACGCTAGTGAGAGGGCGCTGCAAGCAGGGAGCGCCATAGCTCGGCCCTCCATAGTCGCGCTGAGCTATCGTTAATCTCCCAAGCATTATGTTTTTGTTTTCTCCCTTGGTTTTCCATTTCGCCCTCTTTTTACTTTTTCGGTGAAGGTTTATGTGCGTTAAATATGGTGTTTGTTACAGTCTTTTTTTTTTTTTTTTTTTTTTTTTTTTTAAAGGCTAATTTTTTAAGCCCAACCAATTCAATTACCTGTCAAATCTGGACAGGACGGCCTTTCAGCCCTTTTTTTTTGTCATTATAGTACCTGTCTCTTATACACATCTAGATGTGTATAA